TTATATCATGATAGATAACTGATACACTAATCCCAAACATTGTATTTTTTAGATATCTGAGCTGAGAGTTTCTCTTTTACTATTTTGGTGCTACTGCAGGTGATCTATTTATTTTATTCTTTTCTGAGTCGTTAAGCTTGTCTAACATGATTAGCTAGCAAAGTGAGTGTGCTCTAAGAGTGAGAGAAAAAGAAAACCCAGTCTCCTGCCTTGTTTGTAGTCTCCTGAGGCCTCAAATCTGAGAGAAAGATAAATATTGTGACTTTTGAGTAGTTACAAGCTCAGATATTAGAGGCTAGCTGTGTTCACGAAAACATGGACCATGAATTAATAGGGAATTTAAATTCTAATATCATCTCAAATGAAAAAAATGCAAGAAAGTTCAGTGGTTTATTAGAGCACAGATACGGGGTTGCCCAACTGAACCCTAGAATTGTCAGTGTGTGTCATTTTTATTTCAAAACCAAATAAAAGGAATTATGTAAAAACTAGAACTTTCTTGTCATAGCTTGAATTCAGACAAGGAGAAAACACCCATCAAGACCTTTATGTTCTATTTATATACTGATCATGTAACAATTAAAAATATATGAATAGATAATGCTTCATCTCTTGATTCTAATAACCAGGTCACTGGCCTTTTAGAAACTCATTTCTGTTTATCAGTGTTTCTCCTAAATTTCACCATTATGAGAAGACAGACTTAGCCATTGAACTTAATTTCAGAACACACAAGGGGTGTGTTCAACAAATGGATTTGCTTATATTGCCAGTGAGACCATGTTCATAGTCTGAGAAGTTAGCTTAGCCCCGTGCTTTGGCCATTTAATTATTTTTTGAGTTGAACCCAACAAAGTGGCTGACCAGTTAATTACCTACTCTGATATATTCATCTCTACCAAAGGAACATTGTATATATACATTGCATGTTATTCAGGTCAACATATTTTAATTATCTTTTCCTCAAATAGATAATAAAATGAATTAGTAGGTGGTCAAAGGTTGACAAGAATAATAGCATTACAAACACTTCTGGATGTCCATTTTTCTTTTCTGTTATTTAGAAACCAAATATTTTAGTCAGCGTGTTTCTAAATTAATTACACACATAGCTTACCCTCTCTATCTACTCCATATATATATATATATTTTTTTTTTCAACTTAATTGCAATGGAGGAGGGGGCAGGAAGGACAGAAGGCAGAAGGACCTGCCAGAGTAGAAAAGTGTGAAGTGCATTTACTCTAAGTGCAAAAGAGAATCCACGCACGCTTCCAGGTTAGGTTAAGTGAATTAACACTGACGCTTTCCTTCAAAGGAAAGATGAAAGGAGGCAAGGGACTACTAAATTTCTGAGAAACACGTTTAGAAGGTGAAAAGCTGGCGCTAATAAGCTTCATTTCCAGTTTCGGTTGTATTCCCACACGGCCACTTCCTGCTAACCTTGTGCGTGGGGTTTACTTGCCACCCCCACACCTCTCATTTATAATTGTAATGTTTTTCCTTCCTTATTGTGATTTCAGTTCTTTTGGGCGGGATAACCAGGATGTCTCGAACACTTTAGTGTATTTAGTCTGCTAGAGAGCCCTGAGTGTACCAGGTGCCCGAGAGAGGTACTGTAGCTAAAGAAGGGCGGGGCAGAGAGAGAGTGGGGACAGCAAAGCAGGACAAGCTGAAGCAGGTGTGGCTGAAATACACCTGTCTGCCTCGGTCTTGCCCTAGTTCTTAGCATTTACCCTCACTGATCTCTTTTTCCCATTAAATGACATAAGGGATTTATTGGAATGTTTCTGGACTTTAGATGGATAGCCTTACTGCCAAGTTTTATTAACCAGCCCGTGAAATCTGTTTATGGCTCAAATTTGGCTCTATCTCATAAAAGTGGTTTTACCATGTCTTCTGTGTTATAAAATAGATTGCTATATATTAGAAAGCTTTTTGTTTAGGATTGAGGCTAAAAAGCATCCTAAAGAGCTGAACTTTTACTATGCCATTGCCCAAATATCAATATGGACAATTAAAGTGATGAATAATGTACTTTAACATAGAATGGACTGGAAAACGTATAGGAACTTTTAATAACGTGCAATCCCTGGCTCTAATCGGAGTGAAAATCAATCTGAATTATGTCGGTAATCTTCACACGCATATTCACATACATACTGTTTGATGTACCCTAGATTTTTACTCAACCATTATTTATTAGGCACCTACCACAAACCAGGTTTGTGTTAAGGGCTGACATGTGGTTGGCAAATAGTTCTTTTTTCCAAAGAGCTCATAATCTTTTATGATTGAAAATGTCACTAAGAAGACCATCTATTTTACTAAAAAGCAAAAAAAAATATTCAATCTTCAAAATATATATGAAGTATGCAGAATAGTGAAATATGGAAAATATTGCTATGTAAAATTTTACCTAAATACCCAGTTAATTTTACTCTAAGATAAATAAAACATAAGTGGTAAAATTAATTATGCATCTTATGTAACATCTGGCTTATAGAGCATTATGGTACAAAATAGCATTAAATGTTTCAAAATGCATTGGGTTTTGTTCTACTCAAACACAAAGTGAGGATAATGGAACACAAAGGTGTTGAGCTGTTGGAATGTTCCCAAGACCACACAGTGAAAGAAGATCACAACGGGATGTCTCCTCCACCACCATTTCCACTTCTCCATTGAGTTAAAATTACCTAGTAAAGTCTTTAACATACTTACTCAACAAATAACTTTATTTTCTAGGCATCATTCTAGGCAATAGTAGTAAACATGTTGGTAAAAATCATAGAAGAAAATTTATATTGTGGTAAAAAAGACACATAAGAAAAAATCAAATGAACAAGTGTAAATAAACAACTAAATAAAAGACAATAATTAGTTGCTATACAGAGGGTTAAAATAAAGTTATTCCTGTGGGCAACTGTAGATACTTGTGCTCAGGGAAGTCCTCTCCAAGGAGGTGACATTAGCTGAGCCCTGCATGGCTGTTTGTGAAGATTGGTGGGAAGAGAAGTCCAGGCATGGACCGGCTGGCAAATAAGCCCTAATGCAGGAGCAAACTTTGATTGTGGTGAGGATAAGAAATGAATCAATAACAACCCTACACGCTTGCCTTAAGTAACCAGATGAATGGTGGTGACAATAATGGCAATAGAGAACAGTGTGGAAGTAGCAGGTTTTGGCAGAGGAGATTGAGACTTCCATATTGACCCTATGAAGTTTGAGATGCCTGGCAGACACTCAAAGAGGGTGAGTGAATGCAAGGATTGGCCTAGGGAAGTAAACACCATCTGAAAAAGACTAACTTGCCTAGTATACTGGTGGTTCCTGTCTAATTTAAGAGATTTTTTTGGAACCCAAAGAGACAAAGCAGAGAAATGAAAAAGAATGTGGTTGGTAGGAGGCAGAGATGGGAAGGGTGGGCCATGAACACAGTAGAGAAGAAACACCTCATGGCAGAATAAGGAGTTTGTACCTCTGAGCAGTTCTGGTGTAATTTTAAAGATTAGCTAAACCTCTCTATTTGTGGGTGGGAGACCCTAACTTTACCAGAAAATTAGGTATTATAATCCATTGTATATCTTTTGCTTCAAATAAGGTAAGCTTCTGAACGTTCCCTCTGCATCTGCATGCAGCAAACTCACACTGTAAGCAAAGCATACATAGAAAGAATAAAAAGAATAGTGCATAAAAAGAATAATGTGCCTAAAAATCAAAATACCTAATTTAACATATATGACACAGTATTTATTATATAGTGTCACACAGTGACATGATCACACAGTGTCACGGTGAGCATGAACTGTCAAATCCAGTCTTGCCCTAACAATCTATCTTCCATGCTGCAGTCAAAATGCCTTCTCTAAGTTGCAAACCTGAACAAGACATGACCCTGCTGAAAATTCTTTATGGTCTTTTGTTTCTTTTAGCAGAGAGTCAGACTCCTCAACATGGCCCACAAGGCCATAATGCAGGTCCTTGCTGCTTCCTCTACTCACTTCCTGCTTCCTCTTGTTCATCCCCTGAGTTCTCTATTTCCAAGTGCACCTTGTACTCACCCTAATTGCTAATGTTCTGTCCTCTACCAAAAGCCCTTCTTGCTCCTACTTCTCCTTCAGGTCTTTGTCAAGATAACATTTCCATAGAAAAAGCTCCCCTAGGAAGCCTGCTCTGTCGCCTAGCCTCAAGTCTGGTTTAGGTGCTTCCTCCAGACTCTCCCTCATCGTCAGTCCTGACCACTCCACCTTGTGACAGTCTGCATGTGTGCAGCTCTCCTCTATAATCCTGTTGAGGGCAGGAAGCATGGCTGGCTTCTTCACTATTATATCCCCACACTGAGTGCACTGGTGGTCATTTAGTATCTATGGGCTCAACATATATTTGTCGAGTAAGTGCAAAGAGATTTTTGTACCAGGCTATGAGTTGCTAGAAGATACAAACCTGGTTTCGGGTTCTTTCTCCAACTCTAAACATGGTGCAGGTACTCAAAGACTATTTATAGAATTGTTTAACTTAGAGCTGTAGTTCTCTTGCTTTACATTGTATGATTTGGATTTATTATGAGTGGTGTTTCTGGTGAAGAGCCTTGCCCATTGTCTTTGTGTAATCTTTGGTCAAATTTTAACCTGCCTACACGTGGATACTATTTCTAAGTCCATGTAAACAAATATCTGGACTAATACTACTCACTCAATGGTTTCCTCTGGCAAATGAACTGCCATAAAGTATTCCTGCAGCTGAGCATTATTCTGTAAGTGAAATACTCATTATGATCCTGCAACTTAGAATACCAGATTAATAATGTATATACTTCTTTAGGGCTTTTAAATAACTTTGCAACCTTTATCTTCTGACATGTGGAAATAAGTGTTAGAACTAAATTGATCACAATAATCAATGTTTCAATGTATCAATTCTTTACATTTAAAGCCAAGAACACAAAATCACAATTTAACTAAAACGTGTACTCTAATAAGTATAAATATTTATAATTACCTTCTAATGCATATTTCATATCCAGAGCAAAAAGAGTCCACATGATTTCAGCACTTATTTTTCCCATGTTCAGTTCTTGAGGAAACCTAAAACCAAACACATTTTATTGTGCATAAAAAGAATAATGTGCCTAAAAATCAAAATACCTAATTTAACATATATGACACAGTATTTATTATATAGTTTGTAAATACTTTTACTTATGAAATTTCTTTTCATGAAATTTTATAGGTAGGGAACAAAGCTACACACCAGAGTATAGTGTTAAATTAGTTATTTGGGGGTGGGAAATTTTCTTCAACATATCGGTGCCTAAGTAATGGTGCTCAGGGCTCCCCATGGATGTTTTATGAAGAGTATTTGTCTATGAGGAGCCCCTTCATTTTTATAAAACACTCCACCTTCCTATGTCTCAATTTTGAAGATAGGTCAGATCAACCTGAATAGCAGACACCGGGAACAGCAAAAAAATCACACTCCACATGCATCCCTTAGGTGTTGTCGACAATTAAAAGCTGTCCATTTCTACTCTCTATTTTCTTAAAGTGAATTATTTTAAGAAAGACTCCTCACTCCCTCTAGTAAAATGGCTTATGTGGACCCATTAATCAACACTCCAGAATGCCCCCTAGACAGGTCTGTGTTTTAGACCAAACAAGCTTAGGCTAAAAACAAGATTCCTACTGCTTCTGAATATGTATTCTCTTTGCATGTGTCTTCAATCCCACAGTAAGGCCCCTAGTAATATAAGCTCAGTGAATATGATGGCCAAGTCTTTTAATTGCACTGTAAACACTTACTGTATGCCAGAATGTAGGACGAAAGTATTTTCTTTATGTATACAAAATGAATATATAGATAGATAGATACACAAACACACATAAACCACACGTGTGTGTGTGTGTGTGAGAGAGAGAGAGAGAGTCAAGGAATAATAATAGCTCTCATATTCATCCATATTTGGGGGTCTAAATAAAAAAAGAATATAACCCTGTATAGAATGTAAAGTACTACCTAAGTAAATATAACCTCAATATGACCTCAAATAAGAAAAGACCATTGACATCCACTGAACTATCCTAGTTCAATTTTCCATCAAAAGGAGGATGTGTTTCATCAATATCCCTTACTGATTGCTCTCTGTCAATTTGTCTAATAAGGTCAATTGATATTTCAAAAGCTTAAATGCAGAAGCTTTACATTTATTAAATATTTAAACTCAGAATTCTTTCTTGTGATAAATAATTATTAATAGAATACAACCTGACTATACAAAGATTAGTCTTCAATATTAAATTTTACTTTATTGATATAAAATAATCTTAGGCATACAATTTATATCAAAATATTATATTTGTGCATGGGTACTACCATCTCACAATTTGTAGTATATTAATTTTTATGTAATAGACACAAGCAACAAGGTAATATAATGGAATACTTCGAGCACATAAAGGGGGAAATTAATTATTTTAATTTCTTTGAATCAAGAATAAAGTAAGAACATATAAGTCAATTCACAGTTTTCTGTTTTATAAAAAGGTATTACACAAAAAGCAAACTACAGAATAACATCTCTTATAAACATAGATGTAAAAATCCTCAACAAAAATGCCAAATTCAATCTCTTAATGTATAAAAAGAAAAATACATCATGACCAAGAGAGGTTTATCCCCTAAATGCAAAGTTGGTTTAAGATTCAAAATGAATCAATGTAGTTTACTATATAATTAGATTAAAAAAGAAAAATTTTATGATCATCTCTATAGGTAATACAGAAAATGTATTTGATAAGCTTTGACATAGGTTCATGATTTAAAAAAAAACCTTTTGAAAGCTAGTAGAGTCAACTTTTTAATCTTAGGAAGAGAATCTACAAAAACCTACTGCTAACATTATATTTAAGCTCCATACTAAGATTAGGATCAAGGCAATGATATTTACTCTCTTACTATTTCCATTAAACATTGCAGTAAAGTTCCTAAATTCAGCAAAACATCAAGAGAAAGACATACGAGGCATATCGATAGCAAAGGAATAAATAAAACTTTCTATTTGCAGATAACATGACTGTCTACCTAAAAAATTGCAAAAAAATTACTAAAAAATTGCCTACATAGAAAATATCCCCAAAACTACTTTAAAAGCTACTAAATATAAGGTCACTGAATACAAAATAATGTATTTCCATATGCTAGCAATGTACCATTGGTAATTGAAATTAAAATGTGATTTATAATAGCATCAAAAGTTATTAAATACTTAGGTATAAATCTAAGAAAATTTGTATAACATTTATATGAAGAATACTATAAAATTTTGAGGAAAGAAATCAAATAAGACCTAAATAGAGAAACACATTGTATTCATAGATTGATATGTTCAATTTTATTAGAATGCCATTTTTCCCAAATTGATTTATAGATTCAATGCAATCTCAGAATTCTAGCAGTATTTCTTATGCAAATTGACAAACTGATTCAAAATGGACATGTCAAAGAAAAAAAAACTGTAAGACAAACAATGTTGTTCAAAAAAAGAAAAGCAAAAGAACTCACATCACCTGTCTTTATAACTTTCTATAGAAATATAATAATCAATACAGTATGTCTTCAAACATAAGATTGACAAGGCGCAGCAGTATGTCAATGGACACGAGATAGTCTTTGCAACAAAAGTTGCTAGAATAAGACATCTGTGAGCAAAAATAACCCATCTTGATCTATACCTCACAATATATAAAAAAATTAACTCGAAATAGATCAGAGACCCAGAGACATATGTCAAAGGTAAAACTACAAAACACAAAAGTTCTAAAAGAAAACAGTAGAAATCTTTGTGACTTTGTAGTAAGCAAAAGTTGCCTAGATGTGACACAAATAGTGATCCATAAAATAAAATATTGATAAATTGGACTTTTAAATTGAAATCTGATCTTCAAAATATACTGTTGAGAAAATGTAGATAAGCCACAGACAGAGAGAAAAAAAAAAAATTTGGAAACCATGTGTCTGATAAAGAACCTGTACCCAGAACATACAAATGATACTCAAATCTCAATAACAGGGGAAAAACTTACCCAATAAAAATGGGCAAATGATTTCAAGGACATTTCTTCAAGGAAGAAAATTACATGGAAAATAAACACAAAAATATGCTTAACATCATTAGTTATTAAGTACTTGCCAATTAAGATTACCATGTGATATCACTACATGTCTATTAGAATAGCTTAAAAAATTTACAAAACAAAAACAAAAGCCTGATGATATCAAGGGCTGGTAAAGATACCGAATGCAGAAGACCTGGAATTCTGACACAGTGCTTCTGAGAATGCAAAATCTAAGTTATGCTCAAAAACAGTTTAATGTAAATATACATTTACTGGCCATGCCACTCCTAGGTATTTATTAAAAAGTAATGCATACTTAGGTTTCTACCAAAATGTACACATGAATCTTTTCAGTGACTTACTTCATAACCAAAAGTTATAAGCAATTAATGTATTTTGGCTGCTTAAAAGATAAATCTATAAAATGGAATGCTACTATGCAATAAAAAGGAATAAATTATGGATACATGTAACAATGTAGATGAACATCAAATGAATTATGATTATGGTAAATAAAAGAAGCCAGACTCAAAGCTCACATACTGTATGATTCCAACTATAAAACATTATCGAAAAGGCAAAAAAATATAGGGTCAGAAAACATATCAGTTGTTGTCAGGAGTTTCTTTATGCTCTTTTAACTATAAAGGAGCATGAAGAAATTTTGAGATGCAAACAGTTTATATTTTAATTGTCGTGGTCATTATATAACTATGAGTTTGTCTTCTATTTTATCAATTTAGGCTCTTCAATTTTCCCTGAGTTCTACTTTATTTGGGTTGAATATGCTGGTTTTTTTCCTACTTTCTTAAGAAAGATATTTAGATAATTGAGTTTTCCCCTTTCTTCCTTTCTAACATTCATATTTTAGGTATGCATTTCTTTTAGGATTCTGTTTTACCTACATTCTAAACAATTGATATATTTTCATTATTAATTCAATGAAAATATTTCATAATTTTACGCTTCATTTCTTAACTTCCAACTACTTACAGATTTTCCTAAGTACCTTTTCATTGCTGTTTTCTGGCATAATTGTACTAAGGACAAAGAACATATTCTAAATGATTTCAGACTTCTGAAATTTGTTGAGATTTGCTTTATAGCTCAGTACACAGTTAATTCTGGTAAATATGCTATTTTTGATTTTCCATCTCTTGTTTCTTTGAGTTTCAATCTGGATATTTCTTCTGGACTATCTTCATGTTTATTAATTCTCCCTTCAGTTCTAACTTACTGTTAAACCCATATATTGATGGTTTGATTTTTTTTGTTTTTAGCTCTAGAATTTCCATTGAATTCTTTCACTAGTTTTTAGTTCACTGCTGAGTTTTTCCATTTTGATAATTTCATAAATACATTAATCACAGCTATTATAACATCTGAGTCTCTAAATTCCATCATATTAACCTCTTATAATGCCTACCTAGCTATTTTTGATTGAATAAAAGACTTTTTGCATGTGAAAAATATGTATATAATTTGTGTCTCCGGATGATGTTAGTTCCTCCAGGAAGAATTTATTGTCCTTCTGACGGTAGCATATTAGGGTTGGAAAGATGAGCTTTACCCAATGAGGGACTGATCCCATTTAAAGCTGATCCACATTTTATTCACACTTACTCCTAGGATCTAGACCTTCGTAGCCCCAGCTGTGTGCATGGAGTGTTTACAAGGACCTGCTACTTTGTAGGCTATGAATTCCAATTATTCTTCTGTTCCTGTGTTTAGCTTCTCTGTTTTTCTGCTGCTGCTTTCTATGAAGTTTCTCAGGCCCTCAGTCTTTGCTTTCAAATTAATTGATGCCTCAAGGGGTGCGAGGTGAGGTCGGCACATACCTGACATGCTTTTCTAATCAATACATGCATATTTCATAAAACATTTATAGGGATAAAAACATCAAAATCATGTTAATAGTTATGTTTGGGTGAGGAGTAAATAGAATTGGATTCAAGGAGGTATATGCATATATA